AGTTTAACAATATTTAAGTGTTTGAAAATTGGACTAGAATGCTCATGAAATTTAGAGAAAGTCATCACTCTCATTGCCCTCTTTTGTAAAATAAACAAAGGCTGGGTAATTGAAGAATAAATGTTACCCCAAGAAAGGTTAAGAAGGGATATATTAATGCATAATATAGTTTAACCAGTATATCTGAATTGACATAATAGCGAAGTTTAGAAAGAATTCCAATATTTCGCTTAATCTTTATAGCAATATAGCTTACTTGACTTTTCCACGATAAATTAGAATCTATTATAATACCGTGACCTAGATATTTTATTGAGTACTCTTGGTTAAGTTTATGCCATTTAAAAAGAGTGTGACATGAAAGGGTAATTTTCTTTGTGGAGGGTGGAAAATGACAAAGTTTGACTTATCAATATTAAGTGAAAGTTTGTTGGGAAGACAGTTTCGTGAGTAAAAAAGTCATAGCCAAAGGGAAATCATGGACAATTTTAGATAATTTACTGAAACTGTTTATGTTTTGTTTTTAGGTATTCTCGGTTACAAGATTCATTTTGACGCGAATGGAGATGCAGAGTTTAACTTGACTCTGTTGGACATGCAGGCAATACGTAAGCTAAATAATTGTTTTTATGTTCACGGGGATTGGGCTTCCATTGAAATATTTGAATAAGAATTAAATCTCATTCGGCCTCTATACTAATTTAATGTTTATTGTAATTATTTTATAAATTGTGAGTACAAATAAATGGTTGTTGTTGTTGTCTCTAAACGTTACCACGCCAAAACGGACAAACAGATATTGACCTTATAGGGACTCAGATGACGATAAAGATGTCGTCATCGAATGGTTTCATTTGTTGACGAAACTTTAAAGATTTCATGCCAGATGATCTAAACTATCAACATTGCGCATGCACGGTGAGGTGTCCGTAAGGAGAGGTAAGAAGAGGTTTGACTCTGCTTACACCGTTTTCCCTGTTTTGCAGCGGACAAATTGGATGACCACGAGATGGTTCCTGTTGGAGATTTCCAAATCACGTTTGACAATGAAACTAGCGAAGGAGAGCAGGTTTTCATCCGATGGCCTAATGTGACGATACAATGGCCTGGCGGACGAACCGGTCCTCCACGGGACTCCCCTGAATGTGGTTTCCATGGAGAACTTTGTATCGAACCCAAGGGAGAAGGTGAAATTTTCTTGTTCAGTTTTCGTTGTTTGTGAAGGATTTAAAGATGTTGTAATGGCTTATATAAATGAACAGCAACTTCCCAACGTTAATTAGAACAACAACAACGACAGCAACAAGAAATACAACAACAACAACAACAACTTCATTCACTCGTACATTTACAGTTTTACAAAAAATTATATAAATACACGAGGAAAGACAGCAATTTGAGTCTGGAGACTGAAGTAACCGGAAAGTTTTCTAGTCAGTCTCCAGTTATTGTAAAATTTTAATTTACAACACCCACAGTGACCCTCAATAAGGTCTTGAACCAGTTGCAACTCTAAGCACAAAGAAAAACTACGTACAAACACGTGACTGGTAGCAGGCCAGGAAGAGTAACATCTTCCAGATAATCATGTAGAATTGGGCATGTGTAGACAAAAGCTAGCAACAAACAGGGACGCCGAATTTCTTGAGCGTTATCAAATTAGTGTTATCGCCAATCACTACAATGCAGATGAGAAAAAGACAATCCTCAGGTTAGAAGGAAATGTTCAACAATTAGGCAACATTGTCTCTCAAGAACAGGGTGCCCGCGTTTGTAATCTATCAGGGAACAGTCAAAGATACAGTCGAACCCCTATTAAACGGCCACGCCTATTAGGCGACCGGGAATCAAAGTCCCTATGAGGGTTTTTCTATTGTTGTTACCTGTATTAAGCGGTCAGCCCCCTTTTAGCGGCCACCATCTATTTCCCCGAGGGTGGCCGTTTAACAGGGGAACTGTAGTAAATCCAACCGATTCGAAGATTTCTAACAGGGCACGACGAGGGTCTACTAAAGTCTTGATTACAATCGAATACTTAGATAACTAATATTTTGAGCTCAAAGTGCATTCCCCTTTTAACAGCCTAAAGCAGGCTGCGTTACATTTAGTAGCTTTCAAAGTGTGCCCACTCCTCTGACAGCTTTTGAGCCCTTTGCACGTGTTTTCCCTTCAGATGTAAAGACCAAAATCATCGCAGGAGTGTCGGGAGCACTCGCTCTCTTATCCTTGCTACTGCTTCTTAATATCTACAGGTAAGAGTCCTTCCCTTCCTCCTTGCCCCTCCCGCCCGACCGATTCTTCATAAAGGTTTAGATGTAGGGACCTTCTAGGACGTATGAAATCCTCCGTTTTGGTGTCTGTTACCATCCCTTGCCATATGGTTAGAGTATTTGCCGTACCGAAATATTAGTCATTGATTATTTTAAATTTGGGCGCCCCAAATATACAGTTCCTTGGAAAAAGCGCGAAGTTTTGCCCGATACTTACCCGATGAGGCCATTGGACATTTAGTTAATAAATCAGACGACATTCCACAAGATTTTTAATCACTATTCTGGCGACAAATTATTGACGGAACGAAACATATTTTACTACTGGAGTAACTGTCGTTATGCAGTGCTCTGCAAAATTTTGTCGTTAATATAAATAAGGTTATTGGTTGGTTTTCTTTATTATGAGTCAATATACAGTTCACGAGTTAAAATGGACAGCAGTGTTTTCATAGAATCAATATAATAAGATAACTTGTTATCAAACATTTTTCTTTAAAAATGTTTTTAACCTTGGGACAGTTACCCAAATTGTTACCTCCTTTTCATATATTGACAATTATTTCGTATTTATTCCGTATTTGTTTCGTATTTATTATTAATAAAACTCGATTTTTTGTTGCTATGCAGACAATACAGGTTGGAACGGGAACTAAAGAGTCTACTTTGGAAGATTGACTACAATGATATTTGTTTTGAGAAGAAAAGGAACTCCCTCACCTCTTTGGGAAGCTGTGCGGTAAGATGATTTTTTATTTTGATTGATTTATTTAAATTACGATTTTATGAAAAAAGATCTATATGAGAATTTAGTCTATCGTACAATAGTAGAAATCTACTACCGTTCTATCACGAATGCCGTTCTCTGATTGGCTACGCCACTCACTATCTATTCTGTTGTAGATAGTGAATAGCGTAGCATTTCGCGCATGTTAGCAAATTGATGGCCGCTTCTTTGCGTTTTCGAGGTTTCTCTGAAGCGGATTTAGATAAAGTTTTGAACGACTAGTAGATGTAAAACTAAGACAATTAGCTTATTCGTTCTCGATTTCTATGCGTGTGAGTAGACGAGGGCGTAGCCCGAGTCAACTATCACGCGATAGAGTTCAGTTTATATGTTTTTGTTTGAAACAAGAGAGTAACTTGTTTACATCTAATAAACATAACATCTGCTATTCAAATAACTGAGCCTCCTTTCTCTAAAAGACAAAACTGGTTCATGCTTGGCGTGCGTCTGTCGGGCCATGGATGCTCGCGGGAGTTTGGGGAGCACGACAGAAGCGTAAGAGTTGCTCAAAGCGAAGCCGAGAGCAACTCTGTTTTCTCGAATGGACGCAAAGCTAAAGGCATGAATAGATTCTCCTTTAACATAACAACTAACGTTATGAAGACATGATTGATCATCGCAGTGATACACACAACTGACACATAACAATTGACATTGGAAAAACCAAGAAACAAACTCTTCTTTTCGATAATGAAATTAAGCAATTAATCAGTCAATCAGTCAATCAGTCAATCAATCAATCAATCAATCAGTCAGTCAGTCAGCCAGTCAATCAATCAATCAATCAATCAATCAGTCAGTCAGTCAGTCAGTCAATCAATCAATCAATCAATCAATCAATCGGTTTATTAGTGTCAAAGCGTGAGATGAGCCGAGCCAGAGGCTCATGTATACAACGTTTAACAATAAGTTACAAGAAAATAACAACAAATCTCAGCTGTTAAATTAACCAGATCCTTCTTCCTTATGTTCCTCCTAAATGCTAATAGCTGAACGAAGTTACAGCCTAGCCCATGTTCGATAATTTTGACCATAATAGTGGCCAAAATATCTAAGTGAATGTTTACCATGTCTGATGGTATTAAACCTACACCTAAAAATTCTGAGTTCCTCAAGTTGTAACTGAACGGTGACTCACTAAAAAGAGACTTGCATACGTGTCATACGTCAACGGAGAAAGTAATTCACTACATGAAGTTCTGCTATCACAAAATACAGCTGGTAAACCACGTTCATTAACCCGCTCAAGTTTTCTCTTATCAGAGCCATTGCAGAAGTGCCCTACAAGGCTACAGTACGTTAGATATGGTAATGTGGCTGTTTTGTGTATACTCAGTTTCGCCTTGATTGAGATCAGGTTTCGCTTTCTCATCGGGACACCCGCCCTTATGTCAGCTTTCTTGCAAGCTGTAGATATTCGTTGACTTAAAGATCAAGAACAAGGTTCTTACAAATTGAGCTCTTCCAGGGGTTGTACTGCAAAAGAGTGAATTTAAGCATGCTGCCGAGAAGCATCGTTTGAAATGATCATGGCTTGGTATTTACTCAGATTGTCCTGCAAAAAGTTATTATATTATACCAGCCACAAGCATGTGTACTGGCATTGTTGATTACCATCACCGCTTGTTCAAGGTCTTTTCATAGTAAAGCTGGTGGTCGGCCGCATACGCTGACATCTGGCAGTCACATGCTGGATCGTGCTGATAGATGTATCTTAGATTTGGGCCTTGCGAGGACCCTTGCGGGCATTTCTTCTTTGTTCTCTTTTACACTTTCAATTTTACACGTAGTACAGAGAAACAAAGTCTCATTAGTCCGTTTTCACTGTCTTTGACACAGATTTGCAGGGCTAGAAAATTCGTCAACCATTTTCGAGTTTTCTTGCTAATAGCGAGGGAAAGCAAAATCTGGCTAGTGTGGCAATGTGCGCACGTCATTGATTTTTATGGACCAACGGCGCCTATTGAGTTATGCACGCTGGGCCGCTATTGGTTGGGATCGCACGAATTTGCTGGCTTTGTTATAAGATTATTTATCAATCAGTCCGTCAATCAATCAATTAATCAATTAATAATTTAACTAATATTAATGATATAAATCTCACGATAAATTTATTCTCCCTGAAACAGAAAGAGAACGATCCTGATATGTTCGAGCCTCTTCTTGAAGACGAGGATGAGGTTATGAAATACACGGCCGTTGCAGTCTACAAGGTATCTCTCATTGAAACCTTATATTTTTTATTGGAGCAATTATATGACTTTACTTTAATTAGCTGATCAATTAAAGACATTAATTGATTGATTAATTTATGCCAACGCTTCAAAGTACTGTTGCAAATGGGATATTTAATTAAAAAAGATCTAATTTGCCTTTTCGTTCTTTTTATTTGTCCTTAGGGAAACCTTGTAGCGGTCAAACGGCTTGCTAAGAAAAGTATAGATCTAACTCGAACCGTGTTAATGGAACTCAAACAGGTACCTTTCACAAATGGCATATGACCGCATTCGGTGGAGCCATAGGGATGCGATAACTCTGACAGAATATTGATATTTACCCTGTTCAAAGCACGACTAGTCAGTCAGTAGTTGTTGCTTTCGGAAGTACTGACCTGAATCCTAAAGAAAACGTGACTGTTTCTTAATTTTCACTTACCTATTGGCAAAATTAAACACCATACTGCTTTTTCTCGTTGTGTCTCAAGAATTTAGAATGCCAAGGATGAAAGCTATTGCTGGCTTTTGATATTTGCGCGCTAGTATCAACCAATAAGAAACACTACATGGATATATGTAAAGCTTCGTAATCAGAATGGAATATTTTTAAGTGGAAACTTAAAGTGTCTCATTCGTGCGAGAAGAATTGAGTGCGTGCAACGAGAGTTGCGTTCGCTTAGACGCAAATCCATTTTTCTTCCTTTTTTTAGATGCGAGACCTGAGGCATGATAACCTGAACCCGTTTATTGGTGCCTGTGTGGACTCGCCAAACATCTGTATTATTTCACAGTACTGCTCCAAAGGAAGTCTTCAAGTAAGTCATGATCAAGAGTGCTTGTCAACATTTTCTACAACATTAGTCATTTTGTCAAGTGATGCAAATGAATGAAGTCTGGTATGGACTGGTGATAAAGTTTGACATGGATAATGATCATCGTAGTTTTGTTTCCAACTGTAAAGGAGAAGGCTAAAATAAAACATACAGGGTGTCAACGGAATTTTATCCAAAGACCTCCGACTTTTCCAACCGAAGCTGCCGTTTCCTTCCCAAGAACACAGAAAACGCATGAAGGCTTGGAGAGCGGAAGGGAACAAAATTTTGCTCCTCACCAGACACGTCCGACTGCTGAGCTGCTCGTGCAAGGAAAGGAGATGACTTCTCCGTAGGCTATTGTCTTACTTGTACGATGCTCTGTCTCTCGATGACCGTTTAGCTCCGGTCCATAGATTGGGAGCAAACTGATGTTTTATTGCACGGATATTCTTTGGTTCCGCGGCTAACAAATGCTCTTTCTGTGCTGCAGGATATTTTGGAAAACGAGGATGTTAAATTGGATCACATGTTCATTGCTTCCCTGGTGTCGGATATAGTGAAGGTTAGTTATTCAAGGACCAATTTCACCACTATTATCACGAGCAATCTATTATAAACTTAAATTATTCCGTGCAAGGTATATAAAAAATATACCAAACACGAGAGACAGTGTCTTATCACATTTGTTAACATGGAAACTACTTCGCGCAGCGGAGTATTTTTGACGAGCACTGTCTCAAGTGTTTTAAGAAATCTCTTTGATGAAAAGCTTGGTAGATGATGGAGGAATATAACCGATAAATTCTGTGTTAATTCAGAAAACATTTCGGAGCACTGTCACGGCTATGGCTTCTTTGGTTTTAACATGAGGAATCATTATTCTGTTTCAGAAATATGAAACAAAGGCGCGGGCCTACGGTTAGTACATTAGAAACTAATGAAGCATTACATGGTATTTACATTTGTCTCTTTTTCTTGTACAGGGTATGTGTTATATCCAGAGCACAGACATCAAGTCGCACGGGGATCTCAAGTCTCCTAACTGCCTTGTGGACAGCCGCTGGGTGCTTAAAATTGCAGATTACGGGCTCCCTACCTTTAAAGAAAAACAAAGAAAGACATATCCGTCAGAATATGCGTATTACAGAGGTAATTCCTAAATTGTTTTACTTATTTATTTATTTATTTATTTATTTATTTGTTCATTTACTTGTTCGTTTGTTTATTTATTTTTCCGTTTTTTGCTTCATTCGAACCTATCGTAAGGGGGAATCCCTTGGTTCTTGTAAAGTGTCCGCGTAGGAGAGGTCTGGTATCGGGAGTTAAAAATATAGTGTTTCTATGCGACTGAAAGCATGACTGAGAGTTTGCTTACAGGTGGAGACTATGAACGGGTTCAACTGCACTTTATGGTTTTCTATTATTGTCATAATATATCGAATTTCTTGTCTGTTTTAGACCTTCTATGGGTTGCACCCGAGATTCTACGTCTCCCAAATCGTCCTGCTAGAGGTACCCAGAAAGGTGACGTTTACAGCTTTGCAATCATCTTGCAAGAGTTTCACACGCGGGAAGGTCCCTACAGCTCAAGCTACATGGATCCAAAGGGTTAGGAATCTTTTCGTTCTAATGCATTTTTGTCCAGGTTCTTTGTGCGCTTGTTGTTGTTGCTTTTGTCTTTTACGTTGTTGTTGTTGCTGTTGTTTTTTATATTGTTTTTGCTGCTGTTGATGTTGATGTTGTTTTGTTTTTTTGCTGTTCTTGTGGTAGTTGTTGTTCTTTTCGTCGCTTCTTTACATGCTTTGTTATTGGTATTATTTTAGTTCATTTTGTTCTAATTTTATCGACAATCTTTATTTCTAAACGCTATAACACGACATTTCGGTGTCTTCTTCTTCTTCTTCTTCTTCTTCTTTTATTTCTCAAATGTTACGAGCAAGACCCAAGCGCTTTCCACCTTTGATGGTACATGTCATCTAATCTACCTTAGCATCACCTAACTAGTGGACTAATGCAAATCCTGCGTTTTAATTGGCTACGCTACTAGAGGATTTCTTCAACTTGCATTTGCTAACTGTATTATTGCGTTTTCTGTCCTACTAGTTGGGTGATACTGAAACAATAAGACCCTTCGCCCTCAATGACCACGGGGCAATAGCCCATTCGGCTTCGCGTCATGGGCTATTAATCCGTAGCCCTTGCGGGGTACGGGTCTAATTGTTAATTAGCCAATAACGGCCGACACCCAATTTTACAAAGTTTAATATCTAAGTTTGCTTTGAACTCCTCAGAAATTGTGAGCAGAGTACAGAACGGTGAATTCCCACCATTTCGTCCGACCGTGTCAGAGCTGATTACTGGAGTTGAAGAAATCCGGGAACTGATGAAACAATGTTGGGAAGAGAGTCCGGACTTACGCCCAGACTTCCACGAGATAAAGAAGATTGTGAACAAAATTTTAACCAACAATGGAATGTGAGTTAAACTTTACAAACCGATACCAGATTCTCGTCAAAGAGACAGGTTGTGTTGCTTACCAACCACTCAATCGAGCCTCTGTTTCAAATCGAGTCTTGTTGCCTAATATTTACTTTTGTGGTTTATTTCCAACGGAGATTAGATAGAATAAAGAAAATCATACACGCTGAAACACTTAACTCTCGTAACGGATAGAGCACAATGTAAGGGAATTGATAAAAATATCTTAATATTTCGGTACTGGGACTTAACTGTTGACCCTAAGAGTGGAGTGATGGAGGAACAGAAAACGGAAAATTGTTTCTCATAAGATGAGAGACATTGATTTATTTTTTCTTTCCGTTCCTATTTTTGCGAAGGAAAACAAACATTTTCGACAATGTGGTTTACATGATGGAAAAGTATGCCGATAACCTGGAAGAGCTGGTCATTGAAAGAACCGGTCAACTGATCGAGGAGAAGAAGAAGACTGACGCACTGTTAGAAAGAATGTTACCAAGGTGAGTCCATTATAGGTATCTGACTATTCATGATCAACGATGCGACGTTAACTAACGCGCAGGTGGTCAAGGTACCTGTTGAAGCTGTTCAGATTTGATGACGCCCTTCCCTTAAAGGGGTACATATTCATGAATATTTCTTTCATCAAATAATTCGGCCAGAAGGTTTTAAATATCGGATTCCCTTTGAGTTCTTTGTTTCTCGTGAGGATGGTGTTATGAAGTGGTGGCGAAGAGGAATTTTAATTTCTTCAGCATTTATGGCTGAAGAGAAACCCCCAAATTTTTTCATAGCCACCAGTAACGTCCAGCCTGATCCATCGTGCCACGTATCATTAACTCTCCCCTCTACTTTGGCTTTTTTTGATGCAAACGAGGAATGAGAAATGGGTAGATATAGACCGAGAAGAGGCGGAGGAAAGAAAATCGTTACCGTTTTGACTGTCCCCCTTTTGTTTGTCAGACCCGTTGCAGAGCAGCTTAAGAGAGGCAAGGCAGTAGAGGCCGAAAGTTTCCACGAAGTTTCCATTTATTTCAGCGACATTGTTGGATTCACCGAACTTTCCGCAGAAAGTACTCCACTTCAGGTAAGTGAAATTTACTTTCGATATTTTTCAATAGGTGTTGAATCCAAAGAGGCGACGTGCACTCATTATTTTCACCTTTTTTCCCACAGGTTGTCACTCTGTTAAATGATTTGTACACTTTATTTGATGACATCATAAGTGAATATGATGTTTACAAGGTGAGATATCATATTCATCATTACACTGTAACCGAATTCCCTGGAGTGAGTGCAGTCAATTGATTACTCTCCAAGCTTTCAACAGCGCGTTTTCTTCACTGAAGAAGACACCTATGATTCATTTCATCGGATGCGACTGAAAAAAAAAAGTTGTAAAATTGGCAACGTGAAGCTTTGCCAAAAAACAACTGGCAAAAAAAAAACTTGCTCCCTTCCTTGGGATGCGTTCTTGCTGGTCATTTGGATTACTGCATTTCGTTACTCTGCGAAAGACGAGACTGCAGACAAAAGATTCTCTTCCCCATTACTTGTTTATCGCTTTATTTTAAGGAGGTTGGACATTAGGTTTTTAGAAATAAAGCTTAATATATAATGCTTGATAATTTCAATCGACCAATCTGCACTCAATTTAAATAGAAAGAGGAAAAAAAAAAAGAAAGAAAGAAAGAGAGAAAAAACCGTTCAAATAAAAACGGTAACACCGGGCTGCTTTTCCACTTACACAGTTAAAGAAGATAACGTATAGCTGGTTATTTTTTAAAAAATATTATTCATTTGTTGTACCTCTTCTGAATAACCCTAACATACCTAACGATCACCATACCTAATAAGCCTAAACAAGATAAAAGAACGATGGCTAAAATATAATACAATAAAAAGCTAACTGAACTAACGCTTGCACTTTGGCAACTATTTGCAGATAAGAATCGCTGGTGTTTTTGGTTTAAATTTTGGCTTAATTTAATGTTTTAACGTGACGTAAAAGTGTTAGGGCATCAAAAAGTGTAAAAAGGTGTTAAGGATTTCTTATTTTGACAAACGTAATAGTAAGGTTGTTTTCTCAAACTGCGCAAAAAACAACTACCTTAACACTCATTCATTGTAAAGTTAGTTTATGGCAATTTCATAAAATGCTGATTTCTTTTGACACAACATCTATTTCAACATCTAGTGCATAATGTTCAAATTAGGTTTTAAACCAAACATTCTTACTGATAACATATTTATTTAATGGATAATAGTTATGTAATCACTATGTTCAAACGGATGATTTTTTGTGTAGAAATATCATGGCGTTGCTTAAACACGTACCTTTTGCCTTAAAATTTCTTATATTTGTTCCCGAGTGTCTTTCATTTCATTAAAAAGGAGAAATAAATTCCGCTGCATTTGATTTTCAACAAATTTAAATATTAAAACGAATAACCATAAATTTTCGCTATAAACGTGAAACATCGAAGCTTGTTCAACCTCCAATTTTGTGCCGTTGTTTGTGTTGTACTCTAGTGCGCTCCTTCTGCCCGGCAGGTGGAGACAATTGGTGACGCATACATGGTAGTATCAGGATTACCTATCAGGAATGGACATCAGCACGCGGGAGAGATAGCGCGCATGGCGCTGCATCTGGTCGAAGCTGTGAAGAAAGACTTTGTGGTTCGCCACAAAAGTGAACACAAACTTAAGCTTCGCGTTGGAATTCACAGTGGTAAGTGTAAGCAGCCTCCTTGACAATCGACAAGTTATAGGAGACTGATCATTTCTAATCTCTAACACACAATGTAAACAGAGATTCAGTTGATCGATGCATCATCAACCAGTCAACCAGTCAACCAGTTAAAATAATATAATAATAGATAATAATAAATTAATATTTTAAAAGGAGGCCTCCAATCACCTAGAGGGGGTTTTCAGGGGCCCTCTAAAATATAAAAGTCTAAAATATACATTAAATATCTAAAATACAGAATAGTTATAAAAGCTAAAAACGACTACAACTAAGGTTTAGCACTAGAACTAAGATTTAAAATCAGTTATAGTCATACACTTAACCAGTCAGTCAATCTGGCAATTTGTGGGTCAGACATGTGCGGAAAGACAGACAGACAGACAAAGAGACACTTTCAGACAGACAGACAGACAGACGGTTCTTGTAACTAATTTTTTTATGAACACTGATTTCTTTCTTCTTCAGGTCCTGTGGTAGCTGGCGTTGTTGGGATAACCATGCCTCGTTACTGTTTATTTGGTGACACAGTCAACACTGCCTCTAGAATGGAATCAAATGGAGAAGGTAATGAATCACAGACATTCATTTCGATGTTTTTTAAGAAATTTTATCGTTTTTGTTGTGCCAGAGCGGAGCCTTCTCAGAAATCGTGAACTTGACAGTGTTTGAATGTTTGATCTTAATAAGCATAGGTTTTTAAGATTTTACTTACTCATTTTCTCCATAGTTTTAGTTTCGATTGCTAAGATATATCAAACACTCCAGACAGTGTTCAAATTTCCAAACGTCCAAATTTCCAGCTCTCATCTCGTTGTTTGGAAATGTGTTCAACACGGTCTTTCGTGTTTGATATGTTACTTCAACACACGGGAAGGTCTTTCAACAAATTTCCAAACACCTTGAACTTTTTGTTACAAATCGGACCCGAATATCGTTTCAGATCCGTCGGTGAAATGATTGTATGTAATTTTTATTGTTGATCAGCTTGAAATGAAAATGTACTGAAAATGATGTCTCAGTCTGTATCCAAATTAAAGAATGCTTAATCGTTATTAAAATCGCAGAGTACATATTCTGTGTTGTGGCTTATAGCATATTCATGTGACCTGAATAGTGGCTTTTCATTAATTTCATTTCTTATTAATAATTAAGTAATCTTGAAACTGTTGTTAGCTCTAAGAATACACATCAGTGAAGTGACAAAAAGAATACTGGAAGCTTTGGGAGGCTTTAATGTTGAAAACAGAGGCGAGGTATACTTGAAGGTGAGTCTTTCAATAAACCACTACAACACATTTTTTCATCTGATAACCTAGTGCAAACACACCATTGAATAATATCAATACAAAGTTTTGTATGATCTGAAACAAGAAACAAAAATCTCACTCAGGCTATGTCAATTCCATCAGCAGTCATCTTTTTTCTTTCTTAACATTCTAAGAAAAATGTTAGTAACAAAACATCATGCCAGCGCCATGCCAACCAAGCAACCAACCATACACCGCGCGTATAATTCCACCAAATTTACAATTAACACTTAGACTGCGCTTATAACACGAGATAGAAATCTTGAACTCATAATTTAATTGTTTAACTGTCCAAAATTTTATCAGGGAAAAGGGAACGTTACAACATATTGGTTGTTAGATGCAGTTCAGAAACCAGTCCACAAACCTCGCCGCCCGCCTCGAGTACCAAATGGTATCCCTTCGGATTCACCCCTCCTTTCTCTTCCTGGATTTAAGAGTACCCTGGCGGGATCTTCCTCATCCTTGGGATTAAGACGCTCCCCGTCTCTACGCCGGAGTCAGTTCCGCGGCTCTCAGGGATCTCCGGTTCTTAAAAGATGGCAGAAAATCGAGGATCCCCCTAGGAATTCTCCTAGAGACAGCTTTATCAGGACCAGTGTTAAAGACCAGCAGACTATTGTATGAATGGTTATCTCATAACACCCAAGGTCAGCTTCAAAACTCTCCTTGCATCTTTGTAGAAATTTCTTACTATTCCTGATCAGGTCAAAATTCTCATAAACTACCCACCTCGGTTTGCCTCACAAAGGTGACCAGAAATTAGGAACTAAATCACTGTCAGTTACTTTACGTCAAACTGTAACAAATGACTTTCAAGTGAAAGTGGCATGACAACCGAAGAAGCTAGTTACGGATCTATCTCGATAACCAAACGTTGTTCCAAGCAATTGATGATCCCCCGCAGGAACCGTACCTAGGAGAGATCAGCTCGCAACTCTGGCTTCAGTTTTAATGTCCCAGCCGCAACTTAAAGATAACATGCAGTATAACTGACACTGATTTGCAAAACAGGCACTAACCGTCACTGGTCTAAGAGAAACAGGGAAAGAAATAAGGGGCGGCGATTGATCGCCACGGTAACCCAGTCTACCAGTTGAGGCAGTAATCTACCTGTTGGAGCATACACTAAGGCCCGTTGTCGTCAATTTAGAGGCCATTGTTCTGTCACTTGAAATGATCCTAAACATATCCCTATGCGTCCGAAGAGTCTAAAATGTTGGACCCTGCCAACAAGAGTTATTAAGCCATGATCGTTCACCACCATTACCTGAAAGTACTTAGGAGAATAGTAGTTGAATTTAATTCTTGCTTTTCGCAGTGCAAATTCAAATTCTCATTTGATTCCTTCAAGACTCTTAAAATTTTAACTATTCCCCCTATTGAAGAGTTTGTCAGTCTGCGAAAATATGTTTTATTTACTGTGAAAAGAGGGAGAATTTCCATCGTAGATATAAGGTAGCACAGACAAAGTACAGGGAAATGAACTTGATAATTTTCAGGTAAGGAACGTATTTTGGAGACCGGAAAACCNGGGGGGGGGGCGGTAAGGGAAATAGGGAACTCTGCAGGGGTAGGAAATACACTCCTTTTCACACCACACATGTGATTATGTAGTGTAAAGAGGGGATCAGAACACTGCAATTTCCTGGAGGGTTCTAGCTCAGTAAAAATTAATATTGTCATAAAGAATTAGTGGCTAGAACTAACCTTTAGTCCTGATAGAGAAACAGCGCTTGTTCGGACACTTGTTCGGTAAAGTTCAGTTCCAGTCACTTATTCTGTATAATACGCGTACCATAATGTATAATAGGATAATAGGAGAAAGAAAGGTTATGTAACATAATATAGTTTTATTCCAGTAGCAGCACAGCGGTATTGATACAGGATATGCATATTATTTATGTGGGGTCGCTGCTGCAATGTGTTTATTGTATGTGAAGGGCACTCGCTTCCCTTTTAGACTTTCCTCATCTTATGTCTGTTTGAAACAGAAAGTTTGTTCCATAAGTTTAAAATTGATCAACAGGCTGTCGCCCTACTCTAAAACATGAAAGGGCTTGTAAGCTCACGGACGGTGGACGAGGGTATGGAAGGAAAGAAGCGATGGGAGGTGTACAGAATATACTCTTTTCGTACGAAATTAGCTATATCGGTACTAAACCTGCGTTAAGAGGAGCCCATATCAGGCAGACACTGGCCTCAGTTATTCAGTTCGATGTTTGTTTGTTTTTTTGTTTATTTATTTCGAAATTAGGTCGTGCCCCAGTAAGAAATATCACCTTTAAAGTAATAACAATCTCTTACTAACCGAGTGCGAGGGCCAGAACGATCGGATTCACCTCAAGACTACCTTGCCAGGTACAGTATGGCACTGAGCGGACGTTCGCACTACCGCAACGCTATGACCGCTTAATAAGGGTTAGTTTTACAGAAAATACAAAATATTGGAAGAAAATTTGGAAATTACTGAGGCCAGTGACTCTTTGATATGGGGTTTTATTATATGGCTCTGCCTCACAAGGACTGGGAACTACCAAATTGACGTATTTGATTGGCTGAAATCGATATTGAAAGCGGTCTAGATTTTCCCTTCTAGACCGGCGTCTAGACCGGTAATGTTTTGCAGTGAAAAAGTTGCAAACTAAAATGCAAAGTCATCGACTATTTTCATCTAATAAAATTTATTTATGGAAGTGCCAAAAAGCATGATGAGAAAAAAGATTAAAGAGGACGAGCAAACTTTGGCTAAATTAAATTCAGCTCATCGCCGTTCGCAAGCAAAGTGTCAGTTAGTCAGGTTAGTACAAACCAGTCACATTAAACGAATTAAATTGCTTTTGTTTGCGCCATGTAATAAACATCTTATTAACCAAGCTTAGTCGGTCTGTATGGGAGAATCTTGACCTGGGTCGTGTGTACAGACCTCACTGCGTTCGGTCTGCACGACCTCGGTCAAGATTCTCCCATACCGACCTCCTGCTTGGTTAATAAGAGGTAAAGCTTGTTACAGGTTTAATTCCACTGTTGTCTTCATTTTGTATTTAACGAGTTTTTTATTTTATTTTATTTTTTTATTTTCGCATTGTTAAACTGCGGAGTTATTCAATTCTCGTCTCGTCCTGTCTTCATTTCCTTGCATACCCTCCCTGAGAACAAAGGTTATTCAAACTTTTATTGGTGAAGTATGTCGTTCAAGAGTTTTTTACATGAATTCAGTCTAAATTATTATTGGTTGTGATTCTTATAATTATTTTGTGTATGTGTATGTGTATGCTTATTGTCTTAAAAAAGTGATAGGCAAACCGATTAACGGTCGCAATTTTAACTGATATCAGACAAATTAGTCGGGTATTTTGAGCTTTTTATTTTGCTTTGAGGATAGATGTCAACAATTTTTAATCCATATCCGCATCAAGAGATGACTGACTCTTTAAAAACGTCTCGGCCTTTCTCCCTAAATTTGATTTTGGCGGCGAATTTTTATTTGGAAGTCATCACTAGCGTTCTATCACGAATGCCGATCTCTGATTGGCTACGCTACTCACTATCTATTTAAACAATAGAGCGTTTCTGTCGAGGAACTATCGGCTGATAGTTGCCCCGCGGAAATTTGATGCTCTTAAAACAAATATTTGCCCGAGAAGCGATATGCTAGTTTTAAGAACATCAAATTTCCAAGGGGCAACTATCAGACCGATAGTTCCGAGTATAAACACTCTATTGTCTTCATTGTTCACCACTAAATTTTCTTCCTTGCGCCAGTTCAAAAATCATATTGAATTATTTTCAACTTTTTTTAGATGAAAGCCGTGAAAGCCAAATGTAAAATTTGAAAAAGAAAACAAACAAAAACCCTCTTAATACAAATTTAATTGTTTATTTTCTATAAGCCCGCTTGTTTACAGAAATATTTTCACGGACGAGTACTATCCATCCGGGTGTTTTCCTCGGACGGGCACTATGGGCTGATAGTGTCTCTCCGCGGTTGAACACTATCGCGTCACGAGATCAATTTAAACCGATAAGCATAATCTGTGATAGATAGTGATCAGCTTAGCACTGTGCCCTTGTTAACAAAATGAAGGCCGCTTCTTGGCGTTTTCGAAGTGTTTGTGAAGAGTCGGATTTAGATAAAGTTTTGAACGACTAGTAGATTTATACTAAAACAATTAGATTATCCACTCTCGGTTTCTATGCGTGATAGAAATCTCGAGCTCATAATCTAATTGTTTAAGAGACGGGGAGCATTAACACGCTCATCGCTTGAGCAGAAAGTCAAGTTTAATTCCCTTTTTATTTCCAAGAGTGATAAGCGTCTGTTTTCTCCTAACAGTAACGATACATTATCAAGCACCCAGGTGATAAGAATAGAGAAAATCATTCCTGAGAAATACTGGTTTGATTAACAGCAAAATTATCAGACCTAACGTTAAAATGTATTGCATAGCAGTCGAAAAGAGAGAATCTCGCGCTCTTGACTTAAAATGTTTTCCTATCTCGAAACTGAGAGATGAATAAAACACCTTGTGAACGTCCTCTTGGCCGTAAATAGGAGACTGCGGGCAGCTTTTTTTTTTAAATTGTGCGACTCGAATACACCGCGACGAATGCATAGTCTAGTCAATGGGCGGGAAAAAAAGTAGGTCCGTACCTCGTGCACAGATCTCGAAGAAGATTAATTCATGAAAGATATACGAAAATATAGATTCTCCCTAGTGGTCTGCGTGCATATATTGTATAACCAGCTAGAAGAATTTCTTTAAATGTCAGATAATTTTCCTCTTGATGTCTGTTTCCTTTATCTCTATGGTCTGTCTGCTTGATTATTATTATTATTATTATTATTATTATTATTATTATTGATTAGGCATTTTACTGACAAGAAACAAAAAGAGATGTTTAGTGACTCTTGGAGCTGAAATTATTGTCATGAATTATATGCATATGCAGAATGCAGATGAATCGCTTTGAAAGCACAAGACTTGAATACGAAAGAGAAAAGTATTATTATCTATTACTATCGCTATAACAAGGAGCTGGCATAGTCAGCACTAAAATTTGGTCATTGTTAATACGAGTGGGTGTTTATATCGTATTAAGGTCAAAATGTAATTTATATCTTCAAAATTTCCACTAATATCATTATGAATATAGTGTACATATTGCATGTGTAACATAATATGTTAAGAACAACTAGCACACTTTTACGATGAATGTAAGTTACTTTATATCATTGTTTCTGTCAAAAGAGGAATTTTCGATATCGTTAATATAAGAAGGTCAATAAATAATCTTGAACAAGCAGATAACATTGCCAATTTGTTCTGTCTATAAGTTTAGGGCTGCGAACTTCGTACACAGTGTCTTATCTCCCCCACCGCCAGGACTTGCCCCGTTCATGTAGCCTCTCTCCGTCACCACCTCTCCCTTAAGATGGGACGCACACCAAACTTTCCACTCCACACGTATACATCTGGGTGTAGAGAGACACTGGCTTATGTATATATTGACAGGGACAGCGGGGACGACGTCTAGTAGAAAATTTGTTTTTATTTTACCCCAGCATTTTGCAGTTTTCTAGATCTATTCAATGTGTTTGTCGGTGTATAAACTTGCCCTTGCTGAATATGCTAAGAATGCGTACTGTTCCAAATAGAAGTACGAAAATTAGCTGTCGTGGTTCACGGTCTCCACAACTCTTGGAAATTGGTCATTTCACGTTGCTGAGTTGCAAAGGACGGCTGCGAAATGAACAAAGGAGCATAATACACGTTCGGATACATTGTACTACTCGTTAAGCCTTTTGTTGGGCGACGATCTCTTTGCCGTTGCTTTCTTGTTTTGCGCATTTCCTCACAAGTGAAAGTCAAGCGTCTCGCCCAAAAACACATTGACACAACGACCCTCGGCCAAGGCTGGACCCCGGGGGGGGGGGGGGGGGGGGGAATGCAGGTAAGGGGCATGGACAAGTTCTTAAAAACATTGATCAAATTCCACAGGGTGGGAAAACAAACATCAATCAAAAGTTTCAAAAAAGCCCCACCAGGTGGGACAAATANGGGGGGGGGGGGGGGGGGGGGGCGGGACCCCCATATCGAATTGACGAGGGTACTCATCGTACCTTTAAGGAGTTAAAAAAGCGATTTTGGTACCTCTTGAGGCGTTCAGTCTCAAAAGGTCCACAGCGGGAGATTTTGCGCCACGTTTTAGGGTATTGAGCCGAAAAAAAAAAAAAAATGACAAGAGATAATTTGTTGTTTTAGAATTGGTACCTCTTAGAGGTGAAAAAAATCTCAAGCCACAACAACAAAACAGGATCTTGATACCTCTTAAGGTATCCCAGTCCTTTTTATAAGGGCGTCCCCTTGGAGTCTGGACTGCTCGATCTAGAGTTCCCGTCCAGCGCATCTGAAGTAGCCCTATGTAAATTTATTCATTAATAACTGCTCTTTCTAAATTGCTCTAAGTGAAGCCGCTCCAGTTATTATTCGTTCAATTGTGGCTTAGAGTGAAATTTGTTACGT